TTAGGTATTTCAAGTAACGATCTCCTAACGATTAGGTATTTCAAGTAACGATCTTCTAACGGTTAGGTATTTCAAGTAACAATCTCCTAACGATTAGGTATTTTAAAAGTTCATATTTTTGATTCCAAATAGCTGGTACTGTTTGCTATTATCATTTCCATTAATAGATATATTTCAAACATCGAAATAATGGTGAGTTTTTTAATAAATACTTATCAAGCTCGTACCCAGTACTCCACTCGGTCATCCAAGATAATCATAAAATAAGTATTCAGCACTTGCTTACTTTCATAATAGCAGTAATGCATGGTGATTCCACTATTATGATTCCTGTCACCAAGTTTATGATATGGCACTCTCCCGTACTTATAAGATTTCCCTTTATAGTTGTTTGTATAGTACTTGATCCATTCAGTTGTAGCTACCATCCATTTGACTTGTTGACAGTCACGTGACCCATAAGGCAGCAGATAAAATGGTTTGGTTATCGGTAACGAGATTGGAATCTTTTTGTTGCCTCTTGTTTGACAGGAAAAGTGGAATTCGATTGAATTATGCCATTGGTAAGCAAAATCATCAACATAGTTGGTTGAGTGCTCATAGCCATTATCCCTATCAAACATTTGAATCCATCCCGAATGCTCTTGTTGTTTATAGAAAATACAGTATTTTCCTAGGAAAAACATTATTGCTATTTAATGCCTCGCAATTCTCAAAAGTGTCGGAAAAATTTAAAAAAGTTTAAAAAATCATCCTACCATACCTTGTGGCCATTTTATCGATTGCCAATTCACATCAGTTCTTTTAACACAAAAGTACCTCAAGACGAAGCTTGGGCCGACATGTCCTTCGATATTCAAGGTCTGTGAGCTGTTCTTATTTGGATTATTGTCATCTGTGTTTTGAAGGATATATCCTTTATCTGTCCACCCCTTGTACCCCAACCGCCAATTCACGTAATTCCAATCTTTGTCTGTCCATTCTTCAGGACAGCCAGTGGAAGGTTTTAACAGACCATATTTTCCATCCGGCCAGCCAGTGATCAATCCTATAAAATCATTAAAATTCATTATTACATGGCAAGGTAATTTCACGCGCTATGATTGGTCAATTTGCGGTCCATAACTTACGGTACGGACCGAAAAATGAAATGGTTCACTGAGTGTACGTACTTATGATCTTTTAAAACATTCAAATCTTTATCAAAAAGTATATATTTCTGGATGAAAATCGTCGGAAAACCTTCAATAGATAATTAAAGATAACTGAAAGTCACTGGCATTTAATGTAAA